TATATATAACTAACTTACATGCAAATTGGTGAGAATATTTTTGACACCTTCTACCAAATTTGTGAGAAATTTCGTTCTTTCTGAGTTACTAAATAAAGATCGACGAACGGATGTCATTTGTACTAGGCACGACAGTGAATAACTGGCTAAGCCATTTGGTAATATTTGATATAAGTCAAAAAATAATTTTAATGTGTTTGCATCAAGAAATGCAGGACGCCAAGCTGTTGGTATCTGCGAGTTGATGGATATTGATCATATTTTAATCAGCTTTTAAAAAGTAACTTACCTGGACATTGTTCATATCATCTGCTGACTCGTCGGTGGAACTACCAATAAAGTCGAAGCTAAGACAGTTCTTTGTAAGCCGCAAGACTTGTGTTATTAGCCTGAATAATAATTCATTCAAAATAATAGCATTCTAATAATAATAATACTTTCGAAGTATTTTTTACAAAGACAAATTATACTTATATAATATATAAAAAGGTTAACAGTTGTTTGAATGGTGGTGGTATGGTATATATCAGATTTTTGTTCAATTTAATCCAGAGTACTGAAGAGAATATTCGAGACTATGGAAAATAAAAATCAGACTTACATAAAATATTTGAAACGCATGAATGCATAAAAAATAACATATACACACCCATTGAATGAATAAGGGAGAATAAACAAAGATTGTGCTGGAACTCTTGGTTTTAATTGATGGCATAACGTTTCGGGATAGTATCTGATCACTTTACAATGGAAAATGCAAAACAATGACTCAAAGAACACGTCTAATTTGGTCAAAAAGTGGACAATATGGCAAGGATTGCCCGAAGTGTCCAGAGTATTCTTCAAACATGAATATCATTGAAAATATATGGAGTCATGTGAAATCGCAGCCTGCGAATTATGGGTGGCTCCAAGTGGAATGATATAGATATGGGAGAGGAACAAGGACATTTGGTGCACGTGCATCAATTATTAAATAATTATAAATAAATGTATTTGCTAAAAAATGACCGGAGTGCAAAACTGTAACATTTGACATTCTTTTCAATTTTATTTCTTAGAATTATTTCAGCCAACCGAATGCTTTCAAATTTTCAGGTAAGACAGCTAAATATAATACTAACAAAATAAAACAAGAACGTTGCAGTCGGGCGATACCAATTCCATAATACTCATTCACAACCCAAACGCTGTCAACCAGAGTATACATATAGTGCAATTTTCAAGTCTAGTGCGCAACAAAAAAACAGGGCATGGTCCCATTAAAATTGGAAAATCATCGATAGCTCTTGCCATTTATTTCTAGCACATCATTGCATTTATACAATTTTGATTTTTATTATATATTTATATCCATATATTGGATACCGGCTTCAAGCTARCAGYAGATCAGCGCGATTTTMCTATRCWTGTGCACACACTCATCGTCTATTCTATGCGTACAGACAAAAGCCCGTCTTTTC